CTGGCGTGGTGGTCACCGGTGACCGGCACTCTAGTTGACTACAGCGCCGTAGGGCCACCGGTGGCCAGCGTCGCAACTAACAGTAAAAATACGCGGGCAAATCACGTAAAGTGCGCACGGAAGTCAACGAGTTAACAGAATCGTGGAACTTTAAAACCCACTTTAAATTTCATCTCTCGTCGATTTCGATTCGCAATTTCTCGCAGCCCCTCAATTTCCCGACCATGTTTCCGACGGACCCGGATTTTCCTAGAGAGCACGTTTTCCGGCCTCGATCCCTCGTCGAGCCGTTAGTCAGACTTCCCACAGAAGCCAGGGATTTCCTCGAAGAGAGTTGACGGAGGAACGCGCGGCGGCGGATGATTTCATTAAATGACGCAACGGTACATATCGAAGCCGGTCATTCCTGCGAACGGGGGATACCGTATTCCGTTATACGAGTCGCAAAGCGCGGACTGTCGTCTGCTCTCCTTGCCGTCCCCGTCTCTTCTTTCGTTTCCCTTCGCGTTTGTGCGTGTTATGGGGATATGCCTTCGTCTCCTCATTCCTTTTCTCTCTCGCGTGTTGTGTCGCGCGGTCCGCACGCAACCTCTAACGACCATCGGCGACCTCTGCTCCTCTCGCCACGACCGAGAAACAACACCAACGGGTGACCGATTAACTTCGTATCGTCGCGCTATTTTCGCTAGAGGGAATCCCAACGAACTCGATGGATCCGGGGCAAGGCCGAGGTAAAGTTAGTTTCATTTTTTAGATTAACCCCGTGGGTAAAGCTGCTGCTGTCGATAATATTTAAATACAGAGAATTCGATAGATCTATAATGTCGTATAAACCTTAACCTCTTCAGGGACGAATTTTTTATTGACAGTAACTATAATTATACTAAACGCCCACATGTGTGACCAAGGGCGTGAAGAGGTTAAAGTTTTACCCGTCTACCGTACGTCGTATATTTTTTAAACGTGCTTTCGATTTATGCAAACAATCCCGCTCGTGACGTTGTACGAACAATATTGTGCCGTCGGGATATCTCGACGGTGATTAATAATAAATCGAACAACGGAAGAGTAACGGGAATACGAACGTTTGTATTTTGGTACGCGATTCAGGATAATCTCTCCTTGAGATTATCCTGAAAAGTCAACCGGAGTTTCTGACGTAATTCTGGCCGAGCGTGCGCGCATTTCTGACGTAATTCCCGGAGATATTTTCCCATGCACGTTGTATGTTATTTTAATCGATCGAGGAAGCACCGTGCGGAGATGAAGAAATACCCTTATCCAGACACGAACTTCTCGAAGGATGATACACAAATCTTTTATCTGTTACACGTGCGTCGGTGATTAGAATTCGAAACAGCTGTTTTAATACGGTCGTTTATCTCTGGCAACCGTGAAAGTTATTTGAATTGTGTAAATCAGCGTTTCTTAAACTACACCTTCCCACGGATGCTCCGCTACTCTGGAGTTACAATTACTATTTCACTGGTTTTTAGATATACAGGGTGTTTAGCCACCCCTGGGAAAAATTTTAATGGCGGATTCTAGAGGCCAAAATAAGACGAAAATTAAGAATATCAATTTTTCGTTTGAGGCTTCGTTGAAAAGTTATTAACAATTAAATTAAAAAATTTTAAATCGTGCTAAAAAAATTATTTTTAGCTAGGGGGGTCAATTACCATCATTTTTTGTCATTATACATACCCTCGAAAGCCTACTCATTTTTGAGAAGAAAAATTCAAGAAAGTGGACCAATTTTTCGTCGAAATTGAAAAGTTTCAAATCGTTCTGAAAAAATTATTTTCGGTTGCGGGGGTCAATTACAATAATTTTTGGTCATTAGTCATACCCCCGAAATTCTACCGACTTTCTAGAAAAAAATTCGGGAAGATGTGAAATTTTTCGGCGAAAAAAAAATTTTTCAAATCGTTATAAAAAAAATATTTTCGGTTGCGGGGGTCAATTATAATCATTTTTGGTGAATAGACATATCCCCGAAATCCTATCCACTTTCCAGAAAAAAATTCGAGAAGGTATGAAATTTTTCAGTGGAAAAAAAAAATTTCAAATCATATTAAAAAAATTATATTTAGTTACAGGGGTCAATTATAATCACTTTTGGTGAATAGACATATCCCCGAAATCCTACCCACTTTCTAGAAAAAAATTCGAGAAGGTATGAAATTTTTCAGCGGAAAAAAAAAATTTCAAATCATATTAGAAAATTATATTTAGTTACAGGGGTCAATTACAAGCATTTTTGGTGAATAGACATACCCCCGAAATCTTGCGCATTTTCGAGAAAAAAATTCTGTACGGGTAAAACTTTAAACGTTAATAACTATTTAATGAAGTCTCCATCAACAAATTGGTATTCTTGATTTTCGTCTTATTTTTGCCTCTAGAATCACCTATTAAAAAATTTCCCAGGGGTGGCCGAACATCCTGTATTTTAAAACTGCGTTGAAAAATTTATTTATGCTGTATAGATTTTCATTCGTTTCGAATAATTTCGTGTTTTTAAATTTTAATATATTAGTTCACATTAAGAGTCGCTATAAATACGATAGAAAGATGCAAAACTATGACGATGTTAAATAAATCAGATGGATTTACCGACCGCGGTCAAGATAAAGGATCTTTTTCATTCAGACACATTCTTCGGTGTTGAATTTTTAATAATTCAGCGATATCCTCCAAATTATCGTCTGGAACGTTAAGATAGTGGTAACTTCGAGAAAACAAACAAATACGTTTATAGCGTAGCGGTTTTCAAGAAACAAACATGATGGAAAGTGGTAGTTACGACGCTATTAATATCTTGTTTTCAAATAAAATTGCTTGCTTTCCTTACGATGCAGTGGTAAATGAAACGAAGTTTAATATCGTTTACAGCAGTTATCAAGATCTTGCAGTTAAAACTTTCGCCGTGAAAGTTCCATCTACCATTGCATCGTGCAAAAATAATTCCGCCGAAGAAAAACGATACGGTGCTGATGACCGTCGTGATAGCTGCGCGAGGAATGACTTTGGAATTCAACTATGGTCCTTGAAACCGTTCGTCTTTCGATTCTATACAGGGTGAATCATTAACAGCTGCCATCTTGAATTACTTGTCACTCGTTGATTTAAAAAAAAAAAGTATCAGAACTTACCCTGTGACATATTGGGTTTATTTACCGGATATATGTTTCTCGAACGAACGAGTATATGTTTCATTGCGAACAGGCAACCGGAGAAAAGAAAGCGACCCTTTCCACGACGCATTTGGCGAAAGTCGTGTATCGACGAACAAACAAGAAGCGCTAAACAGTTCGTCTTTATTGCCAACCGCTTTTTTTCTAGTAAACATCGGTAGATGAAAATATTCTATCTGACTGTTAAAGGGTCAAAGAAGAAACATCCTCTCGTGTATTCCTGCAACTGTAAATTTAGAAAGCAGACGTTTACCCGTGCCTACGAAGCGAGAATAATGCGTTGATATTATGAATCTCACGCTCAGACAAAAATTCATGTACGTTAATTCATACGTCCGTGGCAAGCTTTCACTTTCGTTTTTTTTTTCGAACCAATTAACTACGCAATACACGCATCGATCTTCATCCTCGTCTCTATGCGTGATGGATCGAATTCCCAGAATCCTCTGTTCGTCATTACGGGCACGGACCGGGCTCGAGAAAGTCGGGCAGACGATTGTTATTCGTGACCGGAAGTAATTTTCGCCGTTCACGATGGGTTGTTAGTAACAAAAAGAAGCTTTAATCGTTTGGAATTATTAATTAGTAACCAAAATGATTTTAAACACGAAATACGTAACAATGGTTACAGCTTCGATTCTTTTTTCGTTTTGTTGGTTATGACAGTCGTGGTCTCTGGTAACGTTCGAGAAGTCGAGTAATTCGAGTCGGTTCCAATTGCAATCAGACTGTCCCACCGTGCTCGAGGGCCCTTTCTGCATGAATTTGTCCGGTCCATCCGACTATCGAATTCTCACGGAGCGTTCGAACGCTCTCGTGTCACGGCCGTTATACCGAGTCCGCCCGAACTTTCCCGACTCTGAACGATCACTCGGACGTCCGTTACAACGGACAGCCAGCGCGCTCCTACTAACAAGAAGAACGCAAGATATCTACCAGTTTCCGTGACAGAGGATCCCATCTTCCAATCGAATAAACATATTGCCAACCGTTGATGCTTAGTTAAAATTTTCTGTAACTACGATTTTGGTCGTATAGAATCATTTTAAAAGGGGATGAGAATCACCAATTCTTCAGGCCTAACGCAGGGCATCGGTTCAAGGATAGTTGTGCGGCGGTCTCTGGGTCAAGAGCGTCTCCCGATCGATGCTACCGCGAGTTTTCGCCGCGTTAACGACTATGTTACGGTCTCGGGATCATGTCCCCGGCCAAATTCCTTCTACGAAAGCATTATTAGGTCATCCCTTGAGCAACGTCGTTTATTAACGCCGGAAATTAAATAAACTTGCGTTCATTTTCAATCGTCGATGTGTTTAACATTTTCCATCTATCGATCAGTTTTTTAATTCCATCCTTCAGAAATTTCGGAGATTTTTAATCAAAAGTCTCGTTTTAGTCAATTGTTTCCTCGTCAAGAAAAATGCGACGGATCAAAGCGGGAGGTTAATAGGGGGAGTCTATTGTACTTGTATCTTATAATAACATTACGTATACGGAACAAAGGTTCTACACAATTATTTCGATCCTATATAGAACAGTTCGAGACAGTTATTTTCGGAACCTTTCCAACATCTGCGTATATTGTTTAAAGTTTGAATAGCGAGCGTTCGGAATAGAAATTTCGTGATCCAGTGTAAAACGGACAGAGAGATGCATGCGCGTGGTGTGTGTGTATGCGTGTATGTGTATGTGTGACGAAAAAAAAAAAAAGAAATCCTAACAGTATAACAGTAGGTCGTCGATTGTAAGTCTCGCTGCCGGACGATGAACTGACGCATATATGTTTTTGTATGTGACATAAAGATTGCGGCCTGCGGCCGGAAGAGGAGGTTCTGGACCCTGGGGAGACCGATCGGTACGGCTGCAAGGTGAATCGTGAACCGCCGCCGTCCCCGCCATCGATGAAGACGCCTGGCGGCAAGAGCAAGTCGTCATCGTCGTCGCCGGCATCGAGCACGTCCACGACCACGATCGCGACTGGCGCGACGTCAGCGGCCTCGACGAAGGAGGATCGCGCCATCTTGAGCAGGAGACAGCGAAAGAACCGCACCAGAGCGCCGCGGGACCAGCGTCGCGAGCTGCGCGACGACGAGCACGAGGACGAGCAAACCGCGCAGCAGCAGCAACGACACCGTAGACACCATCACTGCCGTCAGCAACACTACCAGAACAGCCCGACCAGAGGCAACGACGCCAACGGGATATCGTCGGTAGCCGGTCGGAACGCGTCCAGGAGGAATCAGTCGCAGAACGACTCGCGTCGCGACGAGAACAAAAATGAGACCGTCGCCGGCGGGAACAACGGGTCCAGAAAGTCACGCGTGATCTTCCTCAGCAATCAGAGGAAGGAGCTGCATCATTTGAGCGACGCGTCGCTGGCCTCGTTGCTACGCAGATACACGCTCACCGGGGAGCAGCTGGCGCACCTCGGCTATCCCGTCGAGTGCAGCTACTTCCCGGGTTACGCCGTGATCATCAATCATCATCAGCACCCCATGGGACACCGTGCCCGTGGCTATCATCATTTGGACGCGAACGCGCGCGAATTCGTGCCTGGAAGCGGCACCAGTTCGTCGTGGACGATGGTGGAGAGCGAGGCGGACAGCGGCAATTGCAGCGGTAGCTCGCTAGACAGTTCGGATTTGGAACAGGAGAGCTCGTCGGACAGCGACAAGAGCTCCGACATCGGTGAGTCGTTGTCGTCTTCGTCCTCGTTGTCGTCCTCATCCTCCTCCTCCTCTTCCTCCTCGTCCTCGTCGAGTTACGAAGAGAAGTCCAGGAGGGACTCGACACCCGACCCCTACGAGCTTGTGGTGGTCGAAAGACGATGCGCCAGATGTTTCAAGAGCTTCTATGTGAATCGGGAGGACGGGGAGTACATGCACGAGGAGCGCTGCGTCTACCATTGGGGGAAGCTACGCAGCGGATTGGTCGACGGCTCGCACGGCGACACGTGGGAGTGCTGTCGCGGTCGCGAGAACGCCAGAGGCTGCACCACCGCCAAGATGCACGTGTGGACGGGGCTGGCGCCGGGTTACAACGGTCCGTTCGAGGGCTACGTTCGCACCAGGCCCGCCAGGAGCGTGCCCAAGGACGGGAATTACGGGGTGTACGCGCTGGACTGCGAGATGTGCTTCACGCGGCGCGGCCTCGAGCTGGCCAAGCTAACGGTGGTCGGGATGGACGGTAAAGTGGTGTACGACACGCTGGTGAAGCCCGACGCGGAGGTGATCGACCACAATACCAGATTCAGCGGCATCACCGCGAAGGATCTGTCCAGGGCGTCGAAGATGCTCAGGGACGTGCAGAAGGACTTGACCAGCTTCGTGCACGCCGAGACCATACTGATCGGTCACGGTCTCGAGAACGATCTCAGGGCGCTCAGGATACTACACACGACGGTGATCGACACGTGCGTCGCGTTCCCGCACTTTCTCGGTTACCCGTTTCGTAGCAGTCTGAAGACGTTGGCGCGAACGGTGCTGCGAAGGGAGATCCAGGTGACGGAACACGATTCTGTGGAGGATGCCAGGATCGCGGTGGATCTCATGCTTCGAAGACTACAGCACGATCTCTCGTAGGAGCGTCGCGAGACGATCGCGATGGACAGAGAGAGAGCGAAGGTACTGGGTTGGTAAAATGGAGGGCGAATACAAGTGAACGAACTGATTCTCTCGGAGATCTCTGTTTCCGTCGCGCGAGGCAAAATTGTTTGGGAACTGTGCGCGGTTTCGCGTTCCGAGGTCTCGTTGCACGCGCGGTTCCGTCGTTTATTATTTTCTTTTATACTTTCTTTTTTTTTCTTTTTTTTTTCTTTTCTTTCTCTCTGTTTCGTCGTCGACAGAAAGACGCTAACGAGAATGGATCTCCCCGCGACGGGCCGGCGATAACGCTGTCTGATCCGCGCGCAACTCTCCCGTCAGTGTTCAGTTCCAAGTGAAGTCTGTGATACGTTACATATACAGAAAGAAACTACACGTAGCCGAGCGGTTTCGCCAGGGACGCGCTCTCGTCGCTCGCACAGATGGACTTTAGACACACATAAACACGATTCATGCGTTTCTCGGTCTTATGCATAACGACGTATTCGGTCTTACGCGTCGTCGCGCCGTTGCCGAGGAAAAGGTTTGGCTCGATTCCGTGTACGTCTACTCGAATATTTATTTTTTTTTTTTGTCTCGATGAATCTCTTACGTTACGTTTGGGGTGTCCCAGAAAATGTCGCGCGTTTCGAAACCCCCCGCGCGAGACGCCATGCTGCTTCTTCGGGCGCGCAGGATTATGCGCGTTCACGTTCGATGACGTCACAGTTGTGTTCGCTCGAACGAAATGCAAGATGCAGTTTTCGCGATCGGCGCAGCCAGAGATTTTTAACCATCTATTAACCCCAAGCCGTACGACGTACGTACAATTTTTCGAATGTACATTAATTTTGTTCAAATTTCTTTAAAAATGTGTTGATTTTAATATATTGGACTTCGCGGACGAGAACAGTGAGACTCGTCGGTGCACGGTAAGGGGTTAACTCGTACGTTTCGTTTCGTTGGACGGTTTTAGGATAATCAGGGAACAGTGATCAAAATGGACGATATTCCGTAGGACACCCCAATAGTACCGAAGCTGATCGTTTCAGTTTTGACGAATTTTTGTTATTTTGACGATTGATATATTTTATTTGATGAGAAATGACTAATCGATCTGAATTGATAGACAATGTGTCGCTTGTTGTCCGATCGTGCAAGTGCAGCAAACTTGTGGGCGTCGTCCGCGTTAAGACGGGTAAACCACCAAACAATTTTTCTTCTCCCTGGGGGAAAACAGACTCCGTTGTTATTAATTCTCTAGCAGTTACGATAAAGAAATTCGGAAGTTTTTGGTGGAGAGTGGTGGTGCGGAGATAAAAAAAAAAAAAAAAAAAAGTGCCCGAGTACGGAAAATAAAAATAATTATTATTAGAAGCTTTTTTATTAAGAGATGCCTTAGAGTACAATTGAAATAATAATACTCGAACGAAGTACTCGACTCGACATATTCGCTTTTTCTACAGAGTAACTTCTCGATTTTACACGGTCGATTCATATTCTGTAGCCTTTCGCCGCGATATAGGGGCCATAGTTGCGAAAAACGGTGTTTTGTATAAAATATTAGGACGCTAGTAGAAAGTAGAAAGAAATTATTTTCAAAAACTCGTCCAGTTTCGATGTTCACATGTTTTGATTGTTGATAATTTTTTGATTTTCAAATAATTATTTTTTTGAACGTCTCGCGTTCATTTTTAACCGGGGGAAAAAACTACTCTCCTGTTCAAACTAGACCACTTTGACGATTAGCAGGAAATCGAATATAAAGCGTCAATAAATGTCTCGTTTGACCTGGTTGACCTATATTATTCGTTCGAAAGTTCGCATAGTTAAATACGCGAAGACTCGTGAAACGATAATTGGTTACATCAACGTTTATACGTCTGTTCGAACGATAGTACTAAAGCGTACGGGGTTGTGTGCAACCTGGCGGCCATATTGGATTGCATATGGCGCTGCCGTGCAACTTATCGTTCTATAAATCGTCGCATCTATGGACCCTGTAAGTCGAATATCGCGTAAGGAAATTGTATTAAAATGCAGGATGTACCTTTGGGTAGTACACGATCTCAGTTTCAAAGGTTAATTAAACAGGCTCATTAAGTACTTATTTGTGAAAAGAAATTCATTTGATATGCAAATACAGCCCGAACTCTGTTATAAAGAGCCACGAATTCAATTATTCGCATTCGCGACAAACGTACGAACTTTGAGACACGTCAAAGTGATATTTTCGAAACAAAACGTCAATTTACAAATTTATGATCAAAACTTGAATTGCAATCGCGTTTATTATTAACTCGTTGACTGCCACGCCTAGTTTATCTTGTCTTAAAGATACTCTCGACATTTATACAAATCACAGTAGGACTAAAAACTAGAAATATTCGACAGTTTAATCGTGTACTTGATATCTCATAACGTTATTAAAAATTTTACAATATTTTAAGTTTGAAAACACAGTCAACGCGTTAATTAATATTGCTTATAAGCGTACGATTTTAAACTTACAAACATATACATTCTGTTTAATATTAAGCGTATCGTAACTTTTACACGTATATCAATACAAATAATATTTAGTTATGTAATCGCGTTACGTTCTCATTCATATTTGTTTTGTTCTTTTTACGCGCATCTTTATAAAACTATCCGGAACGTCAAAAAAAATGGCCGACATATTTACGAGTGACGGTGTTCTATATAACCGAGTTCGATGGTACATACATGCAAAATTATGTAAAGAAAATAAAAAGGTACAACTGTATATGTATGAACCCGCGTAACTCGAGAACTTCCTGTACTCGAATATTTCAAGTATTCCGCGAGTTTCTAGGTTAGGTGATCTAACAGGAACGAGATTGTCTGTCCTGAATCAGTAAATCACCGAAATACAAAATGATCTCAATAAATAGTTCCGATACGAGGATTAGTGTATTATAAAAAAAAAAAAAACAATAAAAGAAAAAAAAAGAAGCGAATTATGGGATTCCCGTGTTCGAATTAGGTGTATCCGTCCGCAAGACGTTTTCCTCGACAAGCGCCGCGATGCTGTGTGCGCGCGCAACACTCGTGTAGGTGTCATCTGCGTCTCACAATTTCATGGATCATACCTTTGTACATGTGTGTATATATATATATATGTGCGTGTGTGTACACACAGAATATGTAGGACCTATATGTATATATACACATATACACATATTATATATATATACATACGCACCTTTATACCTTACGACCTCTCTCATGCATATTTCATCCAGCGTTGTTTTTTCGTACACGTACAGCGAGAGGAGGACACGCGGCGTCATTGATGCTGGTAAGTGTCTCGGTCTTCCACGATGATGGCTTGCATTTAAATTCTCCTCGAAAACGACGTCTAGAAAATTCGACGCTAAACGAGGACACACGGATCGAGAAATAATTCGGAATTAATGCGCGCTGCGTTTCTGTTTTTTTTTATTTTCTTTTCTTTTCGTGTTTTTGGACCAGCGCAGCTTCGAAAAATTCGAACGATCGACAGCTTCGACGAAGATTCGGGAGTTTCGATCGTCCGTTGGGTTCGACGCAGCCGAACGACCGTTTTAAAATAATCGTTCGCCCGCGTTGGGCCCTAATCGGGAAACAAAATCTTGCTCGCTCTGGTCGCGAGAAACGAGACGAGAAAAAAACGCGTGTCCTCTGGCCGTATTTTTATCGGTAGACACGTGCAACTTCGCCGCTCAAGAGTATCGATTTCTGTTTTGGTTTTGTGCCCCGAAGACGTCGAGCGAAACGTGCGCGGGCCGCGGAGTCGTTTTTATTATCGACGATGGTACAGCCGTGCCACGGACCAGTTTTTTTTTTTCGTTTCGCGCGTGTCCTCGTCGCGTAAATCATAACTGGACGAGAGAAGCCTTAGAACCGCGCGTCCGATTTCGCCTCACGCTCGATACGCCACGCAGATAATGTTCCGTGATTTTATACTTTATTACCGCCGTTAGTGACGCCCCGTGTGCCCGTTTGTTGCATCAATATGTACGTTAGAATAATAAAGTGCACGAGGTGTGCAAGCGTTCAGCGACGACGGAATCTTTGTATCCCCCCACCCCAAACCCCTTAGAGTTTGACGACTGTGCGCCTGCGCACCAGAGATGAGGAAAATTTTTATCCAGATAAAAGTTTTCGAATAACGAATACAAGACGGACCATTTATTCGTTCGCTAAATAAATAATTTTAATTAATATAAGACGTGGTAGTCTCTTCCGTTGCGCGTTACGTGTTACGTGTTACGTAACCTTTAAATCTTTTATTTTAATTAAAATCACTGCTTTTTAACCCTTTCGATACGAACGATGATTACAGTCGCCCGTTAAAGTTTTACAAAACAATCGAAAAACGATATTTTATTAAATACTGTCTCGAACCCGTGAATTATTTCTACAAATAGCTTGAAAAATCGAAGACTTGCATAGTTGGTGATATTGAAGCGAATGTTTTGTTTCCACCGATTTTTACAGTTCTGTACAGCAGCAACGTGCTATTCGTATCGAAAGGGTTGATAATAAGTCGTCGCAAAGAGTGAAACATTTCGTAACGAACAAATAAAAATTTTTACCATCTCTGCGACGCGTTAAAGAAGTAAATCCTAACCTCTCGAAGACTCGTGTGTGTGTTACGAGCCGAATTTTTACTTAATTTTTATCCCCTGCCAACGATTATTTTCGTTCCTGATTTTTTTACCATTTTTTTTTCTTTCTTTCTTTTTCTCGTTATTTATGTCATAACTCGCGTTCGGAACGCCCGTAAACATTGTTCCATTCTCTTTAGTCCGCGTCCTTCTTGGCTTGTACAAGGTGTCACGATCGCATCTGCCACAATAAGATTGCGTGTACTCACGCTGTAATTACACGATAATTAGATAGTTTTTACACGCTTTAGGGACTTACATTTAGAATTACACCGCGATCGGACGATAATTACCGTGTGATTACACGTAATCCCGTCGTGGCAAATGTAATCGGAATACATTTTACCCAACTCCGTCATGGTTAGATTGTACGCCGTTGGTTTGGTGGATATTGGTATAGAACTTGACCTTGTTAGAGTTTTTAAATCAATGTAGGTAATAAATATACCGATATTTTTCACTTTGGTGTAAGTTCCTGATTTTGCAGCATGTTGCACCAATTTCCACTAAATCGTAAGTGTAGAATCCATCCACGATACTCGTGACATATACAGGGTGTTCTGTCAACCCTGGGAAAAATTTTAATGGGAAATTCTAGAGGCCAAAATAAGACGAAAATCAAGAATACCAATTTTGTTGATGGAGGCTTCGTTAAAAAGTTATTAACAATTAAATTCAAATATTTCAAATCGTTTTGGAAAAATTATTTTCGGTTGTGGGGGTCAATTACAATCATTTTTGGTCATTACAATTACTCCCGAAATCCCACGCATTTTTGAGAAAAAAATTCGGGTAGGTGCTGAAATTTTTTGGGGAAAAATTGTTTTCAAATCGTTCAAAAAAAATTATTTCTAGATTCTGGCGTTAAATATAACCATTTTTGGTGAATAGACATAACCTCGAAATCTTGCGCATTTTCGAGAAAAAAATTCAGTTCGGGTAAAACTTTAAACGTTAATAACTTTTTAACGAAACCTCCATCAACAAATTGGTATTCTTGATTTTCGTCTTATTTTGTCCTCTGGGATCTCCCATTAAAATTTTTCCCAGGGGTGGCCGACCACCCTGTATATTAGTGATAGCCTATACGTAATCCCACGACGATTTTTTTCCTGCCTCGTTGCGAACGAACAAGAGAAACTTTCGATGTTGTGTTGATGTGTTTCGCGCCCGAACCGAAAAGGTATTCATTCATTCACACGTATACATACATACGCGCGCGCGCGCGCGCGTGGATCATATCAGAAAGCACTCGATACGGAAGCAATACGTTCATCGCTTTGTAAATAGCATAATATTTATTCAAGCGCATCGCGAGACAAAGTACCTGCGTGCATCCTCCTCGAAGGACGTTCCTCTGGTTCGGTTAGAGATGGGTAAAATTTTTCTCTAGATAAAATGTTTCGAATAACGAGTTAAATATAAGGACGAACTTTGTATTATTGAACGAAAATGTTTTACAGTGAATAAATAAAAATGAAAAAAAAAAAAGAAGAGAACTTCGATCGAAATAAGTTGGTTTTATTATTTGTTCGAATAAAATTTTGCCCGTCTCGGAGTTCGAGCGACTCAGGATTGCGAGGATTCGATCACTTTTATATTTTTGTTTATTTTCTATCGGCGAGAACGGTTGGCCAAAAAGTTCGTACGGTTCTCGGCGTGTAAATAGAACGTAATTCTTTTATGGTGGGAATTATCTTTAATCGATAATGAATTTTTCGTTTTAACTTATGACCCGTTCCCGTCATCCTGACAGCTTATGTAATTTCTCGATCGTAGAAATCCTTCTCTTTTCCCCGTAAAATACGAACCGAGAGCTGTTTGATGACCGCTTAGGAATCGATGCCTCGTCCATTGTGGGAAACTTTTGCAGAGAGCGAAAGAAACGGTAATAAATTTTTATTTTAAACAAACAGACCGCTTCTGGTGCGTGCGTTCTTTTCCGCCTGGTGTTTCCTTTTTAAAATATATGACAGCATATAACACGCCGTAAAGATCGTTTCGTCTTCGAACAAAGGTCGTAGTTTTATTGGGATTTGAGTATCGAACTTCGAAAAAGAATCGATATATTTCTAAACCCCCGTGCTGTCAACCTGCCAAATATTTTATTCGCGAATCGTGAAACTGTGTAATAGATATCGTAGTTGTATTTGTACCGAATGCTCTTTATAACGAGATGCTATAATTTTTTGGATGAATCGTGAATTTATACTTAATAAATATGTGTGTTTTAATACAAAGATAGAAATCTGCCAACATTCATTCTTTGACATCTAAGTTTCTAGGCGTACGATCATTCGCTATTCGACTTTCATTGTATTGCATATTCTACTATTATAATCGTCATACAGCAATATACAAATGAAAAATTAGGTTAGGTGCATACAAACTACTGCACAGGCGACAGAAACGATATGAAATTTTTTTTATGAACAAATACCGTCACGGTAGTAATTTCAAAATGTGTCGATTTCTTGTACCAGCCACTGTCGCTCAAGTATTAAATAAGAAACCTGATCAACCATTGTATTAACCCTTTAACTACTAAAGTGGTGTAAATCAGGGGTGGCGAACTGGTAACTCGTAAGTACGACTGTCGTGGTTCCTTCCCCTGCTTTTCTGTTCCGCGCAAGCGTAGAAGAACTGCCCCCACTATGCCTACTCCGCGGAGCTGGGACGAAGGCTCTAACTAGTGCGAAACTCGATAGTGGGACTTTCGAGGCCCTCGGCGGAGAAGAAACTTGGTATCCTTGCTGTAAATCATCTTATGGGACGAAGCACCATTAAAGTGATATTTTTCAAAACTTATCTCACACAGTTTCGCGGATTAAACATTGTAGGTATTCCATAAACAATGGAAAAGTAAGTGAACTCGCGTTCCAATCCTCCACGAAGGGCCTAATTATGCGAATAATTTTCAACGTACAAGTGGAAACGTAGCTTGACGTTATTTAGCCACGCTGTTTCTTTGTCGCGAAGCCCATAATACCAACATCGCGGCGAACAGCCCCGAATGCTCCGCGTCCAATTTCTGTTTTAGTATCCCAAGGTTCTTTCAACCGTGTCGTATTACAATTTTTTCTTCTGCACGTGTCCTGTCCGCGTCGTTCGTAAACCGTGTTCCGTTACATGCGCAGACCTGCCATTTCAGGCAGTCGTTCTATCGAATTGTCGGCCAAGGCTCGACGCGAGGATGTTCGAACGAAACAGTACATACGCCTTCATCGCGAGCAGTATCGTTTTTTTTCCGCTTCGTCGATCGATTTCAATACCAACATGGTACACCAAAGTGAGACTATTATTATAAAGGCTTATAAATGTAGAGATGCTATAGTGGAAGTACGAGATAAAACTCGAGTCTGAACTAACCTAACGAGAATAACTACTAAAACTATAAAAATCACGGTACACGTAGGTACACGTGACAACGCAGTACGGTACGGCAGTAGAGACAGCAGACGGATAGTCGTGTCTTTATTCATTTCCCTTTGTTCGCTGTCTCGTCTTGTTGAACGAAGTATAGTATATAGACGCAACACGTTTTGTCTCCGAAACGGCGATTCGAGAAGCAGAAACGATCGAGCCCCGTGATTCGTGCGGTGCGTCGTCTTCTATCCATCGATCGCGCGAGGCTACGCTTACGTAAGAACGCGCGCGAGCTCGCTTTCGAGCGACGGAAATAACAGAAGAAGCGTTTGGAAAGTGTACGGACGCGTGTCGTCGAGGAAGGTTAGGCGGGTCCACGTTTGTAACAGAACAGCGAAGCACGATCGTAACGTATCCACCGCGACCATACTAGCAATGTTCCCGCGCGTTCTCGCAGGCTAGGACCGACTCTAATGCCGCGTTCCCACGTGTCCGGCATACCACCGGCGATCCGGATTTGGAACGCCTCGGATCGATTCGAATCCGTCAAACGACGAACGATTCAATTAATTTCTGAAATTCCGAGCATTGACTTTGGTAAGTTTTGAAAGGTCAGGGAATGTTTTGGTATCTGATATTTCCTTGATAGAGGTTATGTAGCACCGTACGAAAACGGATATAAAGAAACAAAATTTAAACGAAACATTTGCATACTCCTAATAGAAGCGACCGAAATAAACGTTTTTCGTTCGTCGTTCGTAAATAAAATTTGTTCAACCGTGCGTCAACGTTCGCATTATTTTGACGGCCGAGATCGCGCGATCGTATCGTCGAGGACGAGGGGACACGGTTTGTGTTTATATGGGACAGCGGTAAAAAGAAGAAAGCGTCGGCGAGGAAGGAACGAAACAAGGGAGTTCGTTATTCCGTTTCGCATTGCCGCAGGATTCGTGTCGCGCGGTGCTTTCTCATTGTTTCGTCCCAGGGACGCGCTCCGACTCGCGAGGATATTCGCGCACAATGAATTACGATTCTTTCTCTGCGCTTTTATTTCGATGCCATTGAGAGATGCCACCGAAGGAGACTCAGCCCGGGACTCTTTTAGCCCGATGACAATAGTAACGAAATGACGGTACAGGTTTTTCTCCGCGACGACCCGACTGTTCGAATTTCATCCGCGGCGCGCTAAACGAGACCGCCCCAAGGCTGGATGATTCATCAAGAAACCTCATCCGACGCGACGGTCAGAAAACGGAACGAAATTCTTCGCGACAAGCCGCGGATGTTTTACTCGACGAGAGAGACGGCAGACATTGGAACGAGCAACGCTCGAGAATTTATACGGCTCGAAGTGAGCCGAAGGTTAGAGTCACCCGATCCAAATGATTAATATCCAAAACTTCTCCAGGGACCTCGCACCCTCGTTTATTTCGAGACTCGACGCAACATTCTTGCCTCGCGAATTATTGCGCGAACGAAAGAGTTGTTCGAAATTACTATTAGGTTAGGGTTAGGCCGAGTGGTTCTCGTGGATTTTTACGGGCATTCTGAAACGCAACCATCTTCGGTTCGAATCTGAATCTAGCAGTTATTTGATAGTCGACACCTTGACGGCCGCTGTCACGTATACGTGACTTCACCGGTCAACCGTTATCGACCGCTGTGAAGCGTACGTCATAATGTATTGATAGTTTCTATTACAGCATTTTTGGTATCCAATTGCTCGAACGTGATCGATAGTATCAGTATCGATTTAATCGTTAGCTGTGGCCACGATCTATCGCCGGAATCGTAATTCGTCGCGGGTCGATCTGATGCCAGACCGTGCACTCATCGATTAACTTCGTCGATGACCGCATCACGCTGTTGATACAGTTGCAGTCCACGTACAATGGTTGGACGAGGTGTAGCAAACCAGGCACGGATTAAGGGGTAGGATAGAGGGCGCTGCAACCCCGGGCCCCTTCCTCCAAGGGGTCAAATTTTTTCAAACAACAAAATGAACGTCTACGAGAACTCGACGAAATAATTATTTCCTTCGAGCACGTTTAATAATTTAATAACTCGTTTAATAACTCGACGAAATAATTATTTCCTTCGAGCACGTCAATAATTAAATTTCACGAACAACGCAGAATTTAGTCCTTCGAATAAAATATGTAGTAAATTCTGCTACAATTTTTAGCGATTTTGCGACGAATGCAATCGTTGTACCAGTGTCGAGTGAACAGAATGCGTGCTAAAAAGTGGTGGAAAATTGTTTCACAAGGAAA